ATGAAGATTCTACAAAATAAAATAATTTCCACAATTTATTTTCATTTTTATTTTTAATTTCGAATTTTCTAATAAAATCAGAAAATAATTTTAAAGAATTATTTTTAACTTATATTAATATCTCTCATAATATATAAATCATTTACAAAAGATTTAATGAGGAAAAACATGCTTAAAAAAATAACATAAACACTTTTATTTTTCTAATAATAGCATAAATTGTGAAAATTCACAATTAATTAAAATTATGCTATTCTTAATATTTAAAAAAATCCATAATAACTAAATTTTTATGTTTAATAACATTTAGATATCAATAATAAAATTTTCGGAATCAAATCGGACTTAAATTCCCTTTACGATTGAAAACCGAAGATTTTATTATAATCTCTACTGTTCTCGATTATGAATTTTAACTTAATCTTGAAATACTTTACTTATTATCTATACTCAGTTAATTACTCTTACTGATTTACCTTATAACTTTTTACTGTGGTAAATAACTTTTACTATGGTAAATAAATTTTACTGCGGTAAATAAATTTTTACTGCGGTAAATAATTTTTACTGACTTATTAAAATATGGGGTATTACAGTGCACGTGCATCCGCATCGATACGCACACTTCCAAAAGACAGAGATCGAGCGGCAGGTGGGCGAGATGCTCGAGTCCGGGCTCATCCAGCATAGCTCGAGCCTGTTCTCGTCACCTGTGTTGCTCGCAAAGAAGAAGGACGGAACTTGGCGGTTCTGCACGGACTACCGCGCTCTCAATGCGGCTACTGTGAAGGATCGCTTTCCCATTCCGAGCGTCGACGACATGCTGGACGAGTTGGGTGGCGCCCGTTACTTCTCTAAGCTCGACCTACGCACGGGCTACCATCAGATCAGGTTGGCCAAGGAGGACGTGCCCAAGACGGCTTTTCGCACGCACCAAGGACACTACGAATATCTCATGATGCCTTTTGGTTTGTGCAATGCACCATCGACATTTCAGTTTGCGATGAATTCAATCTTCAAGGAGTACCTTCGTAAGTTTGTGTTAGTATTCTTTGATGACATTTTGGTGTACTCGAAGACATGGACAGATCATCTCGAGCACTTGCGAGTTGTTTTGAAGATTTTGGCGGCCAACTAATTTTATATCAAGCCGTCCAAGTGCTCGTTTGCTCAAGAGGTGGTCGAATACCTTGAGCACTTTATTTCTCATGAGGGTGTAAAGAAGATCGAGGCGATGGTAGGGTGGCCGAAGCCCGCGAGCTTGACGCAGTTGCGAGGGTTCCTTGGTCTCACGGGCTATTATCGAAAATTCGTGAAGGACTATAGGACCATCGCTAAGCCACTTACGGAAATGATGAAGAAAGGAGCATTCAAGTGGACGGAGGCGAGCGAAAAGGCTTTCGAGGAACTAAAGGAGGCCATGACGACCACACCCTTGCTCGCAATGCCGAGGTTTGATGTGTTGTTCGAGATTCACTCGGATGCGAGCGACATTGGAATCGGGGCAGTTCTAGTGCAAGAAGGTCGGCCCTTGGCTTATCTCAGCAAGGCACTCGGGCTGGCACGCTTGGGGCTGTCCGCGTACGTGAAGGAGATGCTGGCCGTGGTCGAGGCCGTACGCGTGTGGAGACCATACTTCCTTGGGCGACGCTTTCGAATTGTTACGGACCAGCAGCCGCTCAAGCACTTGCTCGAGCAAAGGATCGTGACGCCCGAGCAGCAGAAGTTCGTATCCAAGTTGATGGGATTCGACTTCGAGATAGTGTATCGACCGGGTCGCCAGAACACCGTGGCCGATGCATTCTCTCGCCGGGAAGACGTGGCCGAGCTCGACGCAGTGACGGGACTGACGTGGGCCGTTTGGGCTGAGCTTCGAAAGGCACAAGACAAGGATGCACATT